AGGCCAGGATGTTGGCGTTGGCCGTGAGGCCGGCAGTCGAAATCACATGGAACTTCTGCTGCGTCCTTGCGATAAGCTACATGCCAAGCGGCATACAAATTGGCTGTGTGTAGAGGCAGCACCCCTCCGGCCTTCAGCCGCTTCAACCTTCGCTTCGTCTGCGCCTTTTGCCAGTTTCTCTTCGCGCAACCATGGCATGCCTCGCCAGTGCCTTGGAGGGGGCCCCGTGTTTTTTTCTCTATGTCGAGGGTCCTGCAACACAGCCCCGGTTGCCAGCGGTGCATCTTCTGCAATCTGGGAGACGGCGCTGTCCACTCCTGCAGGCCGCTTGGGTACCATCACGTGAGCTGCGCCGTCCCCTGTTCAATACGGTGCGGCTTGAGCTGCGCCTTGTGACAGTCGGGCACTTGAGGGTTGGTGTATGTAGCAGCTTTCGCGGAAGCTTTCTCGTGTTTCTAGCCACTGTCGTGCTGGCACTCACAGAATTTGCGGGAATTCTCGGACAGCCTGCTGGCTTCTGTTCTTTTTTGGGGGGGAACTGGCAAGTCCCGGCTGTTGCGCAGGGTTCGAAAGTTGATATCCAGCATCTGGCCAACAAGGACGAGAACCTCGGCCTGGAATGTCTTCGCATCATGCGCTCGAGGATCGAAGACATCCAAGTCCGGCAACTCCTCCACTCCCCGTGCCTTGCGCATGGCTTGGTTCATGCTTTTTCGCGTCTTGGACGCGTTGGCTCATCTTAGCCTCTGATGAATGAAAATCCTGCTGGCTCGGCTTTGTCTGCCTCCCACTTGGCTTCGTTTTGAGTAGTGCTTGGGCGGGCTTGGGGTGAGCATGTCGGCTTACTTTTGCGTGCTTATCCGACCTTGCCGAACAAACCTTTGGCCCGAAAGCTTGAATACCTAAACCCTGAACCCCCAAAACCCTCTTCCTGAGAGCTATCCTCAGAGAGGTGGGTAGCTCAGCCTCAGCTTTCGAAATGGTGGAGGACAACACGACATACAGGGTTCGGGCTTCAAGGTTGAGGGTTCAGGTTACGTAGGGATATGTAGGGATCCTTCGTATAAGGTCTCAGGGTTTGGGGTTTGGGGTTTAGGGTTTAGGGTTTAGGGTTTAGGGGGTTGGGGTTGTTGTGCAGGAAGTTAGTTGAACATTGCCATCACAAGGCCATCGCGTCATGCACCACCCATCAATGTTCTGGTACTGTAAATTCATCTAAGCTATGTTAACACCAACCTAGCAGCGTGTCGCGTGGTTGGAATAGCGGGTACCGAGATCTTAAGCCCCCTTAAATTAAGGAATCGGAAACTCTAAACCAAAACATCCTAAAACCCTAAACCCTAAAACCCTAAAACCCTAAAACCCTAAACCCCTAAAACCCTAAAACCCTAAAACCCTAAAACCCTAAAACCCTTAAACCCTAAACCCTAAACCCTAAAACCCTAAAACCCTAAAACCCTAAAACCCTAAAACCCTAAAACCCTAAAACCCTAAAACCCTAAACCTTTTTCAAAATCTTAAGGGGCCCGGGGGGCTCCTTGGATGAAGGACGAAATCATCTACCACATCCTGGTTCTCGAGAAGTGCCACGTGGCCTGGGCCTGAGGGTTATAGGGTTTCTAGGGTTTCTCCTGCTTACAGGGCTTAGAGGGTTTAGAGGGCTCATAGGATTTATACGTCTTAGAGGAATTCTAGGTTTGATAAGGTTAGAGTGTTTGTGGGGTTTCGTAGGGTTTAAGGTGTAATCATCTCCTTGAACCACCCGCTGCGTTCTTGCATTTTCGGGGGGCCGGCTGGGGGCCCTAAACCTTGAAACCCTAAATCTTGGGTTTTGGGTGCAGGGTTTTGGAGACTGAGGGCCCGTTACCTCTTGTGGAGCCTGCGGCTATGACCCAAAACTTAAAACCGAAACCCTATACTTGGGGGTTCACGGGTTCCCTATATAGCGGCGACAAGCCTTAAACCCTAAACCCTCAACCGAAAACCCTATACTATACTTGGAGGTTCATGGGCTCCCTATATAGTTTATAAGGTATACTCCCTAAATCAAGGGGCTTTTGGGCTCTGTGGGGGTAGAAGCCCCCTGGTGCCAGAGGTGGATCTTCTCGCCGACTGTTTCCTGGGGCGGCTGCAAGGCGGGCAGCCGCAGGCCGAAGCAGAATCTGAAGCATGCCCCCCTTGAACCCCCTAAGCCCCCTAAACCCCTTGAACCCCCAAAGCCCCCTAAAGCCCCTAAACCCCCCAAACCCCCCAAACCCCCTAAACCCGCCCAACTCCTGAAGCTTAGGGAAGCTGCTTGTTTTGGGGGGCTTGGGGTTCAGGATCTCAGGTGGAAATGAACTGTCAACAGCTACAGCAGTGCCTTACTTCATGTGTTGGGGGATAGAGTTTAGGGTGCGCATCCGCTGGTATTATTGCACTCACTATGATCATCATTCAAGTAGCTACGCTACTAAACCCTAAGCCCTAAACCCTAAACCCCAAGCCCTAACCCTAACTCTAAAACCCTAACCTCTTGAGGATTAGAGGCCAACTTCTGCCCCGAACCCAACAGTAGTTTGACAGGCTCGTCCTTTCCCTGAAAATGAAGCACCTGGACCCTTTCATCCGTCCATATTGCTCTTGAAGGCCTAAGGGGTTTTAGTGGAACCCATATCCCTAAACCCTAAACCCTAAACCCATATCCTAAACCCTAAACCCTAAACCCTAAACTGTAAACCCTAAACCCTAAACCCTAAACCCTAAACCCTAAAGCCTAAAGCCTAAAGCCTAAACCCTAAACCCTAAACCCTAGACCTTAAACCCTGAACCCTACAACCCCAGTTCTCCACACAACCAGCTGGTAAGCAAAGACCGCGCAGGACATCTCGGATCAGCTGGACCATGCGGGCCACACACGAGAGTCCCTGGGAGCGCGCGCCCGCGTGCAGAAGCTCCTGAAGATGCTGCGCCGGCCTCAGGTTGCCTAGGGTTTAGGGTTTAGGGTTCAGGGTTTAGGGTTTAGGGTTTAGGGTTTAGTGTTTAGGGTTTAGGGTTCAGGGTCCAGGGTTTGGGTTTCGGGTTTAGGGTTTAGGGTTTAGGGTTTAGGGTTTAGTGTTTAGGGTTTAGGGTTTAGGTTTGGTAGGGGTTCGGGGACATTTTGTGTTTGTCCCTCATTGGGGTTCAGAGGATCATACCCAGGAAATATTTTAGGGTTTCAAGGGCTTTTCCCTTATTGGTACCTTATTGGGTCTACGAGGATCATCTCCAGGAATATTTTCTGGTTCTAAGGGCTATCCTAGTTGCAGATTCGGGGCTCCTGCCAAACGTTCAATCCCTAAACCCTAAACCCTAAACCCTAAACCCTAAACCCTAAACCCTAAACCCTAAACCCTAAACCCTAAACCCTAAACCCTAAACCCTAAACCCTGAACCCTAAACCCTAAACCCTTGGACTTCACCCTGAACCGCTGTGGGGCATCATAAGCTCCAAAACCCTAAATAGGGTTTAGGGGTTTAAGGTTTAGGGTTTAGGGTTTAGGGTTTAGGGGGCGGCCAAGCTGAGCCAGAAACCCCTCAACCCACTTCCAAAGGTCAAAAAGCACTTGAAGAATTCCTAATACCATCCTCCCGACTCGGCCCGTGTAGATCAGACCCTGAACCCTAGACCCTAAACCCTCAACCCTCAACCCTAAAAACCCTAAACCCGAAACCCTGAAGCCTCAAGCCAGGCAGGATCACCTTCGAGACCCGGAGAACGGCCCTGGACGAGGTAACACAGGCAGCGGGCTCCGGGCCGGGGGGAGGCTATTTGGGGCTTAGGGATTCTTAGGGTTTAGGGTTTAGGGGGTTTGGGGTTTTAGGGTTTTAGGGTTTGGGGTTTCGGGCTTAGGGTTTGGGTTTTAGAATTTGGGGTTTAGGGTTTAGGGCTTTAGGATTTTGGGTTTTACTTCAGAGGGTCGCATGAGGGCTATTTTACGGGTATGTAGGGTAAGGGTTATGTGCTTAGGCAAGTATGGGCCATTTTGGGACATGTTAGGTTAAATAGGGTTGTTTTAGGGCTACTTTTATAGGCTTAAAGGGTTGTGTAGTGTTTAGGGTATCGGGCTCCAGAGTTCATGGAGGGCATAGGGGTTTGGATTTTCTAACTTCAAAGCACGTTTTTGAAGGGTTTAGGGTTAAGAGTTTAGGGTTTAGGGTTAAGGGTTTAGGGTTGAGGGTTAAGGGTTTAGGGGGGTTTAGCGTGAACTTAAGGGGTTTCAAGCCGCATCTGTTTTGAGAGGGTCTCAGCAGCTCCGAACCTAGCCTCATCTGCGGTCGCTTCCGTGATCCCTACATGCCCTGTGTCGATGAACCGAATGACGCAAAGTCCGAAACCGAAATTCATACTCAGGGGTTTAGGGGGTAAACCCTCGACCCGAAGCCCTAAACCCTAAACCAGGGTTCCGGGTGGTAGTGGACGTCTAACCCTCGTTTGGTTTGCAAGGGCTATGAGGGTTTAAGGTTTAGGTGTTTTTTAGGGTTTTTAGGGGTTTTGAAGGGCGACGGGGCTTGAAGATTTAGGTGCTTTTAGGGCTTTTTAGGGTCGAGGGCTCCAGATCCTAATCCTAAATCCTCATGCCTTCCGTGAGAGGCCTGCTGTCCAGCACCGTGCACGGCCTGGGTGACGAGACCCAGCCTGTCTTTTGTGGAAGTTTTGTGGAAGTTGTGTGTGGAAGTTTTGTGGAAGTTTCCCTAAAGCCTAAGCCCTAAAATTAAAGCCTGATCAAGGGTTTAGGGATGGAGGCCCTACACACCGGACCCTAAGGCCCCTCGACCTTGAACCCAGAGACTCCAATACCCTTGATGAAGGAACATTCCTCAAAACCATATAAGGAACCCTATGATAATTGAAGGAATATTCCTTAAACCATAGAAGGAACCTCTTGTAATTTGAGGCATATTCCTTAAATGAAGGGGTATTGGGAGTTCTTGGGAATGTCCCTGCAACAAGGAGACGTGGCTGGCCTTTGTGGAGCTCCATGGCCTTTACTGCCTACTCGCCGCCTTGCTCCACCGAGCCGCCATCTGCCTGGAGGCGCCCGTAATCCCTAAACCCTAAACCCTAAACCCTGAACCCTGAACCCAAAACCCTAGACCCCAGACCCTATGCCCTAAACGCTAAACCCTAAACCTTCAACCCTAAACCCTAAAACAGAGAACCCAAAACCACTCTAGGGTCCTAAGTTAGTATGGGCCCTTAATGTGGGGTCTCTTGTCACATAACTCATAACCCTTATATACACACTGTACAGTAAGGGCCCATACTTCGGATCCCTGTAAACAAGGGTACGGGACCAAACTAAGGGCTCATGGTTCTAAAATTAGAAAGTACGGGGATTGCAGGGTCGGGTTGTGTGTCAGGGACATCCTGTCAGGGGGTGGTTCCCTCATCGGTGGCACGAAGGCCTTTTGCGGTTGCCCTTGGCCCCTGCTAGAAGCACTTCATGGAAGGGATCAGAGCCCTAGCACCCAAATCTCTAATAGCCTCTAAGCCTCTAAACCTCTAAAGCCCCTACACTCCCCTAAACCCGAAGCCCAAAGCCCTAAGCCGCAAGTCCCGGAGACCCTAAACCACGCGGGGCAACTGGTGTCGGTACTTTTGCCCATCAGAGGCATGATTCTACGGTTTCAAGGGTTTCAGGGTTTCAGGGCTTAGGGTTGAAGGCTCTAAGGTTTAGGGGTTTGGGGCAGGATGTCGGAACCTTCGCAACCTACAAGTCAACCCTAACCGTGCCGTGCAACTCCGAGTTCCGTTAGGGCTTAGGGGCCAAAGAGCCCGATGCCCCTGAGTTCAGGAAAATGCCTTGATTGGAGAATCCTATACAGTTTAAGGTGTCTTCCTTGCTTAAGGGGTATTGGAACCCTAAATCTTAAAACCTGAACTGAACCCCTTAGCTAAGCACCGTCCCCTCAAGGGTTTAGGGTTTATGGTTTATGGTTAAGGCCTTCGGGTTTAGGGTTTAGGGCCCCACAAGCTCCCTTGCGAGAGGCCATTCAGGACTACTCCAAGTTCATGCGCCTGGAGATGCTTTTGGCAGCGTGGGGTTTCGAAGGGTTTGGGGTTTACTTGGAAGCCCTTTTGACTCAGTAAGTAGGGTTTAGGGTTTAGGGTTTAGGCTCTAGGCTTTAGGATTTAGGGTTAGTAAGTTGGGTTATGGTGATGATGAAAGGGGTTCTACGGGATACTACGTAGACTTACTAAGTGAAAAGGGCTTCCAATTAGGGTTTGAGGGCTCAGGGCGGTTTAGGGTTTAGGGTACCTGCTTAGGGGTCTCTTGATTTCGTAAAGGGTTTTAGGGTTTAGGGTTTAGGGTTTAGGGTTTAGGGTTTAGGGTTTAGGGTTTAGGGTTTAGGGTTTAGGGTTTATCCAAGTCCTGGATATTAAGCCCTGGACCCTAGACTCTAAATCGTAAGCCCGAAGCCCGAAAGCCACAAGCCCAACAGTGACCTCCCAACAGTTGGAATATCATTATCCTCAACACAAATTTAACGTTCTTAAACCATGTTCCAACTTTAATGGAGGTTACTTTGCAGCTGCAACGGAGGTGCTTCCTCCCAGTGCACCAGGCCTCCCTACTGGACCTTGTGCCCCGGCAGAGCTTTTGTGCGGAGTTCTTCTCAGGAAGATCTAGTGTACTTGTGTGGGGGTTCCGAAATTAGGGGTACCTTATTCGGGTCCTTATTATAAGAATCCTACTCTTTGGGGGGTCTATATTCGGGTCCCTTATTTTCGTAGACCCCCATATCAGGGTTTCTCAGATCCGAAACCCGAAACCCGAAACCCGAAACCCTAAACCTAATAAAGTAATAAGGTGATATTGCAATCCCGAAACCCGAAACCTGAAACCCTAAACCTAATAAAGTAACAAGGTGATATTGCAATATAGGGCTCTTCAAATGCAAAGCTCCCGGGTCTTCTTCGTTGCCCGTCTTCCGACACACAGCTGCCACCAGGCCAGGGTCTCGAAAGGCCACAGGTGAGGCCCTAACCCCACTTCCATTGGTTTAGGGTCTAGGGTTTAGGGTTTAGGGTTCAGGGTTTAGGGTTTAGGGTTTAGGGTGGATTTCTATCGCGCTTATTCATTCAAATCGGACCCTGGGAACCCCACTTCTGAATCCGAAGCCGCAAGCCCTAGATTCGGCTCCCGGCCTCCTGAATCTGAAGAGTTTTGGGTCTCAATACCCTAAGCCCTAAAGGGTTTAGGGTTTAGGGTTTAGGGTTTAGGGTTTAGGGTTTAGGGTTTAGGGTTTAGAGTAACGAAGCGGCCCAGGAGCAGCTCTTCCCTCAGCTGCGGGTGCACATCGTGCAGAAGACCCAGCAGCGCCCTCGCTGCAAAGCCGTCCCTCTGATCCTGAATCGCTTTTCCTTTTCGGTTCAAGGTTCCCTTATAAAGCAACCAGGGTTTAGGGTTTAGGGTTTAGGGTTCAGGTGTTGTTCAACAGTGAGGGTCCCTTAGGGTTTAGGGTTTATGGTTCCGCCTTCTTGGAACCTTCATAATAACTGTACTTAGAAGCCCCCTAAGTCCCCTAAGTAGGTGTAGACTTATAATTGTGGTTATAAGTACCCATGAACCTCCAAGTTTTTTTTGGTTCAAGGTTCCCGTAGAAGCTATAAAGTAACCAACACCCCCAAAAGGGGCATCCTTCTTTTTTTGATTCAAGGTTCCCTTATAACTTACAACTTGTAATTTGTAAAGTAACCAACCCCAAAAAGAGCATCCTTATTTTGATTTTATTTTTACAGCACTGAATCTGAGCCTCATCTGGTTTGCTGGGCTACCGAGTCCTACTGTCCATAACAAGCATCAGGCAGCACTCGCCACGCGCCGACGAACTCCACCAGCAACGAAGACTCGTATCGAGCAGCACCATTACTACGAAGGTGTAGTGCAAAGGTGCTCAAACATGAGCCCCGGTCTAGGGTCTAGAATTTCGGGTTTAGGGTTAGGGTTCAGGGCTCAAAAACCAAAACCCTTCAAACCTCCAACCCCCCAGCACCTGCCTGGACCCCCAGACCCTGAACCCTAAACCCTGGCCCTAAACCTTAACCTCAAACCCTGCCCTAAATCCCAAACTCTGTGACCTGCTGAGAGTCCCAAACCTTGCTGGGAAGCTGTAAACCCTAAACCCTAAACCCTAGCGTCCGCGGACGTCGGTGCTGCATCGTGGGGATACGCCGCCGCCGGACCCCCACTTCTTCCTCTTGCCGGAGGAAAGGGGGCGGCTACATGGGGCAAGGCAAGCTGCAAGGCAGCGGTTGGCTAGTTTGAGACGTGCGTCCCAGGAGCGGCGTTGAGGCACGCTCGGCTAGTGCCCGCCCGGCCTCACCAAGGTTTCCGGCGAGCTTGCTCCTCGCAGCAGTTGCTGCTACTGGGGAGCCATCCAACTCTGGCTCACGTGGGAAGAGCTACTCCATGATGACGAGTGCGCCCGGCCCACTCCCAAACCGTAAACCCTAAACCCTAAACCCTAAACCCTAAACCCTAAACCCTAAACCCTAAGCCCGAAACCCTAAACCCTAAACCCTAAACCCTAAACCCTACACTCCGAGGATCCTGGACGCCTACGAGCGCCTTCCTCGGCCGACCGCGCCCCCGGGCCGAACGGCGCTGTTGGCGAAGGGCCGCGAGCTGCTGCAGCCGCCTGGCCACCTGCGTTTTCGGGTTTGGGGGGCTGTTTCGGGTTTGGGGTTTAGGGTTTAGGGTTTAGGGTTTAGGGCAGTTTAGGGTTTAGGGCAGTTTAGGGCTTAGGGCTTAGGGTTGGGAGTCAGGACTTGAGGTTAAATTCCACTGTCTCCCTCTCTCTCTCTCTCTTTCTCGCTTTTCTTTCTTTTTGTGTTGGGGGGCTGGGAAACTTCAAGTAGAGTTTAGGGTTTCGGGTTTAGGGCTAGGGGTGTACTCACGTAGGGGTCGGAATACATACTAATAGCCCTAAACCCTAAACCCTAAACCTTAAGCCCTAAACCCTAAACCCTAAACCCTAGTATGCCCTTACGGTCCCTTTATACGGGCCTTGAGGGCTTCCAGGATCTAGGGGAGTTGCAGGATATTCTGTTGGGGGCCAGGCGCGGGGGTTCTTCTTGGGCCAGAGCTCCGAGAATTCTTGTTGTTTGGGATAGTTCGTAGCGTTTGAGCGCAGTGAGGAAGCCGTAAACTCGAAGCCCTAAACCCTAAACCCTAAACCCTAAACCCTAAACCCTAAACCCTAAACCCTAAACCCTAAACCCTAAACCCTAAACCCTAAACCCTAAACTCTAAACCCTAAACCCTAAACCCTAAACCCTAAACCTAAACCCGAGTACCGACACCTAAACTGTGGACAGGGGCCGTTTTGGCCTGGTTTCGGCGTGCTCGGGAAGTTGGGATTTCGGGGTCGTTTCGGGGAAGCTCCAGGCTCCTTTGGGAAAAGCCACTGGGCGCGGGTTTAGGGTTTAGGGTTTAAGGTTTTGGGGGTTAGGGTTTAGGGTTTAGGGTTTAAGGTTTGGGGTTTAGGGCTAACAAGCTTGTTGGATCCATTCAGGGTGGCTTTCCAACTCCTTTCATGTCCAGGGTTCAGGGGTCAGGGTTTGGGTTTCGGGTATAGGGTTTAGGGGTGAGTAATACTTCATGGCTGGCCCTGCAGGCCTACAACTTCGCTTGAACTCGCGGGACCTAAGCACCAAGGTCAACGCTGAAGCCTACAGCCTAAACCCTAAACCACGAACCCTAAACCCTAAACCCTAAACCCTAAACCCTAAACCCTAAACCCTAAACCCTAAACCCTAAACCCTAAACCCTAAACCCTAAACCCTCAACCCTAAACCCTAAACCCAAAGCTGCTCCTTAGTCAGCTGAGGAAGCTGGATCAGACAGCGTCTTCCTGCCACTCTGCCAAAGAGGCTCTAAGGGCTGTCACGCCCCAGGCCACGCTCAAGGAGCCAGCTAAGGTTCAGGGTTTAGGGTTTAGGGTTTAGGGTTTAGGTAGGGTTTAGGGTTTAGGGTTAGAGGGTTTCATGAATCCGGCCGCCACTTTGGGCCCTACAATCGGGCGTTTCCGACATTAGGGGACTCTATTAGGGGGCCCCGTATGGCCCCGTATTTTCGTAAACCCCCAGTGAACCTGTTAACCAGTTGAATTTGATCCATTTGATTAGGTCAGCCCATTAACCCCTCAGCCTATACATACATGCACCCAGTAACCCTCACTCAACCCCAAATTTATGTGGACCGTCGTTGAGCTCCGGCTTGTACCTCGTCATTGGCTATGGTGCCACCTTTTGAAGAACTACGATTCATGAACTGGTTTGGCAAGAGTGGCTCCCAAACCGCGTTTAGGGCTTAGGGTATACGGTTTAGGGCCCCTCCAAGCCTGGTGCACAGGAGTTCAATCGCTGGAGGGAGACAGACCTGCGCTGGCGACAGCCCCTCGGCAATCATTGAAGTTGACACGCAAGCCCTAGAGTCTAAACTCTAAACCCTACACCCCAAACCTTAAACCCTGAAAAGGGACCCTAACTGAGAGAATCTGCGTCGTGTTGTGTGTTATAAGTCTGGTTACCATACTGATAGGCCACCCGCCCACTTCCAAGCAGCATGTCGGGTTTAGGGTTCGGGGCTCGGGTTGCTACAGGCGCCACAGAAGGTGCTACGGAAGATTTTCTTCAGTGGCGACTGAAGATAATTAGGTTACGGTATAGGTTTAGGGTTTGGGGTTTAGGGGTGTCAGATTTGGATTCCGCCACAGCTGCTGCTATGCGCAAGAGAAGTTTCGTCGACGACACATCTTCGAGACTTTCTTGCGCTGAGCAAAGGCTCGAAAGGCTACTTAGAACGGCAGGAGACTACAAGACGAACGTGAGTCTCAGGTATTTGGCAGGACTTAGAGCTTGGGTTTTAGGTTTCAGGTGGGGGCGTCATTAGTCCCTGCTAAACACGGGCTGTATTTTGGGTATAGTTGTTCGCATTAGGGGAGAGCATAGCATTTTTCAGGGGGAGTTGTCCCAGAATCCCCCAAAAGTCGAAAACCACGAAGCAACCGAACCCCAAACTCCTGAACCCTAAAATCCCTAAATCCCTAAATCCCCAAAAGACTAAACCCTAAACCCTAAACCCTAAACCCTACACCCTAAACCCTAAACCCTAAACCCTGAGAACCCTGAGAACCCTGAGAACCCTGAGAACCCTGAGAACCCTGAGAACCCTGAGTCCCTGACCTCCTCGCAGGTTCGCTAGGCTCCACCTGGCTGCCCGGGCGCTCTTCTCCCCGGAGCAGCTGCGGGCCCTCGAGGCGCCTCAGGAGAAGCGCTCAATGGACTGAGGGGTTTTGGGGTTTAGGGTTTAGGGTTTAGGGTTTGGGGTTTAGGGTTTAGGGTTTAGGGTTTAGGGTTTGGGGTTTGGGGTTTAGGGTTTAGGGTGTAATGAGGGTTTAGGGTATGTACTTTTTTCTTTACTGGGTGTTTTCTTTGCAGGGCTTCTTGTAGGGTCTAGGCCGGAGGATGTAGGACCGAGGGTTTACGGTCTACACGGTTTAGTGTTTAGGCTTGGGATGTTCCCCCTTTTACTGACACTCCTTAAGATGGATTCTAGTGTACTTGTGTGACAAAGCCTATTAACGACTGTTAGTATAAGGGGGAGCAACAGAAGTGTAAGCTCCTCGCCGCGTTTTTTTGGGGGCGGCTGCGGTTTCTTGGTTTGTTTAAGCCTGGGATGAAGGGTTCAGGGTCACCCTCCCCCCCTTCTAAACCATTGACTTTAGAATCCTGGACCCTCAAACCTTAAGCCCTCAACACCCGCCTTGAAAGGTCGGCACAGTGGCTGACTCGCTCATGAGGGGTACGCCTCAGTTCCTTGGCCGTTCTATGGGTGAAGGGCTGGTGGCGCAGCGTCGAATGATGGGATCCTTTTTAGCAAAAACCATAATAGGACAAGTTGATAGTAGCCGTTATGCAATTCCCTGATTACCCCCTCCTCCCCCCCAGAACCATAGATGTGAATGTCCGGTACGGGTGCCGCATAGTCTCACACTCCAAAAACGTCCTCCCCCTAGCAAGAGCCCTACTAAACCCTAAGCCCTAAGCCCTAAACCCTAAACCCTAAACCCTCAACCCTAACCCCTAAACCTTAAACCCTAAACCCTAAACCCTAAACCCCTGGTTTGGGAGCCCTTCCTGGTTCCAGCTACTCTCCAATCGTTGCAGCAGACGGGACCTGCTAGGCCTGAGACGCCCTTATGCCCGCCCGCCCGAATGTCAGGCGGGCTGCGGCCATGCACGTACCACCCTTCCCAGTTTGGTGGACGGTAAGCAGCACAATCTCTCAAAGCATGTCGTCAAAAGCTCGGCATCTCGTTCAACCCCTGCTGCCCGTGATATCCCGAGTAACCCTGATAACCCCAGAAAACCCCCAAATCTCAAAAACTTCGAAGACCTAAAATCTCTAAACCCCAAACCCGAAATCCCTGAAAATCCCTAAGCCCTAAACATTAAACCCTAAAAAAAACCGAAAAAAGCCGAAAAGTCCCTACCCTAAACCCTTACCCTAAACTCTAAACCCTAAACCCTAAACCCTAAACCCTAAACCCTAAACCCTAAACCCTAAACCCATTCCCTAAACAATGAGGTTCGCACTCGAGGGCCCGAGTGCGGGCACTCGTGGGTCTCCGGACCTGGACCGCCAGCGCGTCGAGCCCCGCAGCGAGGTGGTTTAGGGTTTAGGGTTTCGGGTTTAGGGTTTAGGGTTTAGGGCCTTAGTGATCATTGGTAAGTATTCCGAGCCCTTTCGTAGCGAGGTTCGGGGAGAGGGGGTTTTCGTTGGTGGCCCGGTGGTGCCCTTTTGCCCCTTTTTGCTTGGGGTCCAGACCCTAAACCCTAAACCCTAAACCAGCCCCCAAAAGGGTAACCTTATCAGAATATGGTTTCTGGGCTACTAAGTCACAGGGGTTAAAACGAGGGCCACTTGAGAGTTTTTGGGGTTCGTGGGGTTTGGGAGGGCTTCCAGGGTTAGGAGGTTTACCGGGCTTTGTAGGGTTTTTAGGGTTTCCAGGGTTTATGCGGATTGTGGGGTTCACAGGTTTTTGTGCGTGGGGTTTGAGGTCGAGATAGGGTTTAGGCTTTGTGGGTTCGGGGTTGAGGGTTGAGCCTAAACCCTAAACCCTAAACCCTAAACCCTAAACCCTAAACCCTAAACCCTAAACCCTAAACCCTAAACCCTAAACCCTAAACCCTAAACCCTAAACCCTAAACCCTAAACCCTAAACCCTAAACCCTAAACCCTAAACACTAAAACCCTAAACCCTAAACCCTAAACCCTAAACCCTAAACCCTAAACCCTAAACCCTAAACCCTAAACCCTAAACCCCTAAACCCCAAACCCTAAACCCCAAGCGCCGTTTGAGATCTTGGGGGCACCAGGGAGTCGCTCTGCTATGCTTTAACGCGCGCGTTGGGGGGACCTTTGGACCCCATAGTGCCCAAACCCCTGAAGCCCGAATCCTCCAAAGTATATGAAGCAGGGTATATATTACTGTTTTTGGTGAGTGTATATAAGGTTCCTTTTTAAAATTGGTGAGTGTATACCTTGGGCGTCCTTTTGGGGGTACAAGAAATATATACCCTCCAAAGTATATGATCCCCGGCTTAGTGACCATTTTGTTTTTGATTTTTGATTTATATATTCATTTCCCGAATCCTCCAAAGTCTTCCAAACTGAAAGCCATAAGCTGGTGAGCGACCCCACCGAACATGCCTTTTTTTTTGTGGGGTTGTGGATTGCGCAACCTCGGTGTTTTTTTTGGATGCTTCTGTGTGCATGTGGTTTGGAGTGCATGTCCGAAAAAGCCCTATTTTTGATCGATGTGCTCGATGTTTTTTGGCCTCAAAACAGCATTTTCGTGCTTTGTCGGTTTTTCGGCTTGGAGCAGCCGCATTATGGAAGCCGCGACTTGTTTACAAACTTTCTGGTATTTACAGCGAATTTGCATGTTCAAAGCGGTTTTAGGATGTTGTTTGTTGTTTTTGAAAGGGTTGAGGGTACATGGTTCTGGCGTCTTGCCCAGGCAAAATGCGCGTTTTGTTTTTCTTGTTTTTTTTCGGAAAAGTTGTGTTTGTGTGTGTATAAGGTTGAGAGGGTTTGGGCAAAGCATGTACTTGCCTTAACACCCCGCCCACCCCCCTCCCCCCTCCCCCTCCGCCCCTAACCTAACCCTAAAGCCAAAAGCTTAAACCCTTAACCCTAAACCCTAAACCCCAAGCCCTAAACCCTAAACCCGAAACCCGAAACCCAAACCCCAAACCCTAGCCCCTAAACCCCAAACCCTAAATCCCCCCCCTTTGACTGACCACCGGGAGCAGAGAGCGCGAGGTGGGTTTAGCGCGCTTCGTGGATGAGGACACGCGCCTGCACCAGGCGCGTGGGTTTAGGGTTGAGGGTTTAGGGTTTAGGGTTTAGGACAAAAAGTCGCCTTTCCGAGGCCGCTTGCGGCCTGGCGCTGCTGGGCGAGACGGCCTGGCGAAGGGTCGGTTGGCTGCGTTTGTGGGGGGGTGCGGGGGCTTAGGGTTTAGGGGTTCAGGGGTTTAGGGGTTTAGGGTTTAGGGTTTAGGGGTGCTCAGGGCATTTCGGGGTATCCAAGGGTATCCAAGCGGACACTTTTCAGGGTCTTTGAGTCTTTCAGGGCATGTCAGGGCAGGGGGTTTTCAAGGTGTATGCGCATGCCGAAACCACCTTGGGGGATCCGTGGGGATAAAGTTTTCTTTGTTCCCACCCTTTTACTGCAGAGCAGACCAAAATGCTCGGTTTCGGGTATCAAGACATTTTAGTTAGGGTTTCAGGGCTTGAGGGCTCTAGGGCTTCAGGATGTTAATGGTTATTGCTGAACCCGAAGCCCCAAATCCCTGAACCCTAAATAGCCCTAAACCCGAAACCCTAAACCCTAAACCCTAAACCTCTAAACCCTAAACCCTAAACCCCGAACCCCAAACCCGAAGCCCGAAACCCCGAAGTCCTGGAGCTCCAGCGGGCGCGCCCCCCCGAGGCCTGGGTGGCCGCTTCGATGGTGAATGACACTGCCAAGAACTTGATCCCTCAGGACGGCTTAGGGTTTAGGGCTTAGGGCTTAGGGCTTAGGGTTTAGGGTTTAGGGTTTAGGGTTTCGGGTTTAGGGTTTAGGGTTTAGTGTGAGAACGTCAAAGCTTGCCCCTTCTAATCCCCTTTTTAATGCCCCCCCCACCCCCCCATTGCAGTTATACTATGGTATATTGCGGGGGGGGGGGGGGTATAGTATTAGGGAGGGTAGGGGGGGGGGTTTAATATTTGGGGGAGGGGGGGGGGGGTATTTAATATCAGGGGGGGGGGGGGGGGGGGGTTTAAGAGTAGGGGGACCCCAAGATCCTTTAAACCCTAAAGGACCCCAAGATCCTTTAAACCCTAAACCCCCAAGATCGTCTAGACCCTGCAGCCCAAGATCCTGAAAGCCCACGATCCTGAAAACCCAAAGCTCATAAGGAGATAGGATTCCATGGTTTTCTTTTGAATCCCTGAGCTGCCCCACAGAACCATCGTTGTCTATCGCCGACCCGAACGACAGGATCTTGGGGTCCCCCTATTCTTAAACCCCCCCCTGCCCCCTAATATTAAATACCCCCCTCCCCCAAATATTAACCCCCCCCTACCCTCCCTAATACTATACCCCCCCCCCCCCCCCAATATACCATAGTATAACTGCAATGAGGGGGGTGGGGGGGGGGGGGGGCATTAAAAAGGGGATTAGAAGTTAGAAGGGGCAAGCTTTGACGTTCTGACACTAAACCCTAAACCCTAAACCCTAAACCCCAAACCCTAAACCCTAAACCCTAAACCCTAAACCACTCACGCCCTTGAGAGAGAGGACGCCGTGTCGGACATCGCTCCCCTGGGCTACGCGAAGGTCTCGCGCCTGGTCGAGGCCTTCATCCAGGCGGCGGGAGTAGGCGACCTGGCTGTGCGGTTGAGGGTCTAGGGCTTAGGGTTTAGGGTTTAGGGTTTGGGCTTTGGGGTTTAGGGTTTAGGGTTTAGGGTTTGGGGTTTGGGGTTAGGGTTTAGGGTAGGTTTAGCAGCTTTTCGCCTTTTTTTTGCACTCACTTGCGGGGGGGGGGAACTTAGTTTAGGGTTCGCGGTTTAGGTCTAAGCTCCTCGGAGCCCTGGAGCCAGTTTCTGCGCGCAACCCAAGGTACATCGAAGCTGGTGCCTCGTACAGTTGCAGGGGTATCGAGCATGGATTCTCGGTAGCTGAATGAGTACACTTTACACGTTTTGGGATACCACAAACCCCTATAAAACTGAAAAGTGTGCACGTTTTTGGGGCTTATGAGCTCAACAGCTAAGGATTGGGTCGTTCTGGATGACCAGGGACAGGCGATCGAGACATGGACCGTCCCGGCCCGCCTTCCAGAAGAGTAGGGGTGTCCGGGTGAGCCCATGAAGCCTCTCTCGACCACAGATCCGCGGGAGGCTTAAAAGAAGCTTGTGGGGTTTAGGGTTTAGGGTTTAGGGTTTAGGGTTTAGGGTTTAGGCTTTAGTGTTTGGGGGGCGTGCCGGCTGGTGCTGGGGACGGGGATGGCTCCCCCCAAGAGACGAATCTGTGGGCCGTAACAATTGGAAAAGGGTTTTGGGGGGGGCTATTCTCGTCTACTTATTTAGGGACCATGAGGGAATACCGTTAGTGTTTTTCTGACCCTTGCCACACATGCCAACTCAGCTCAACACTCTGCTCTCTGAAAACGATGTTCACGAAGTCGACACGCCCGAATTCGTCCCAATCCCCCCTGAGACTAAACCCCCCGCTCTTCTAATACTAGATATTCACCATCTGCTAGATAAATATACTTGGACATTTCATGTAGGGGATGGAGGAACCTAACAACGGGGCGGGGATTGGAGTATCTTCGCACTTGAACCAGCAGTCTTCGTCCACGCGCAGGTCGAGGACATGAATGCCAAGTATCGCTGCATGCCGGGCCGCATCGTCTACACAGCCACTTGGCCAAAAGGAATGCTAGTTTGTGAGGTTTAGGGTTTAGGGTTTAGGGTTTAGGGCTCCATGTTGCAGTCAGTGATGGAGAAGTTTCGTTTTTCAGGCCCTAAGCAACCCAAATGCCTCAATTCTCCCGAAAGCCCTACACCCCTAACCCTAATCGCTAAACCCTGAAAGCCCCAACCCTCCTTGTCTGCATTAGACCCAACCCTATCAAGCCTTGCCAGACCCTATGCCGTACTAAACTACGCCTACAATTCGAAGCACTCAAACCGGTATTCCCAAAATCCTGAGCCCAGAAACTTATTTTACTTCAAGCCACGAGAGACATTTGCGATATTCATACTCTGGTGATCTACTAATTGCTTAAGAACCCCGAAAAAATATTCTTCCTTACTCAGGGTCACATAGGGATTATTGTTTTTTTGTTCTTTTGGGGTTCTTAAGCAAATAGTAGTGATCATTCTGGCTCGGTACCCGTTGTACCCCAGAAAGCTATCGCCTGGTTTATAGGCCAACACCCTACACCAAAAACACCCTAAGACCCCAAGCCCTACAGACCCGAAAGCCCTCAAGCCCAAGTCCAAACCCTAAACCCTAAACCCTAAACCCGAAACCCTAAACCCTAAACCCTAAACCCCAAACCCCAAACCCCAAACCCCAAACCTTAAACCCCAAACCCAAAACCCTAAACCCTAAACCCCGGCGTCCCAGGTGCTGCTGCGGTGCAGCTCGCAAGCCGGGGGCCAGGCTTTGGTGGCGGCCCCGGACTTCCGGAAGACCAAAAAAAACGGCCCTTAGAACCCCTTAGTTAGGGTTTAGGGTTTAGGGTTTAGGGTTCAGGGTTTAGCGTTTAGGGTTCAGGGTTTAGGGTTTTGGGTTTTGGGTTTTAAGTTAGGGTCTTGGGTTTAATTAGGGTTTTGGGTTTAGGGCTTGGTGTTTAGGGTTTGGGCTTGGATTTTGGGTTTTGGGGTTAAGGGCCCAATATACCGCTGAAATTAAGAATAATATGCCGTGTATACCAAGGATCCCTGTATGGTTTAAGGTATCTTCCTTAATCAAGAGGTATCGGGCTTTCGGCCCCTAAAGCCCTAAAATCGCAAAAGCCCTAAAGCCCTAAGCCCCCAACACCAGAAACAAACAAAACCCTTAAAAGCCTAAGCAAGACTAAGCAAAAACCTAAAGCCCTAAACCCCCCCCCCCACCCCCCAAGCGCTAAAACCTTAAACAAAACCTTAAGAAGCCCCAAGGAACCCTCAACAAAAAGCCTGAAGCCCTCAATCCCAACAGAAGCCCTAAAACCTTAAACAAAACCTTAAGAAGCTCCAAAGAACCCTCAAAAACAAGCCTGAAGCCCTCAATCCCAAAAGAAGCCCTAAAACCTTAAACAACACCTTAAGAAGCCCCAAAGAACCCTCAAAACAAGCCTGAAGCCCTCAATCCCAAAAGAAGCCCTAAAACCTTAAACAACACCTTAAGAAGCCCCAAAGAACTTTAAAAAAGAAAACAAAAGCCTGAAGCCCTCAATCCCAAAAAGAAGCCTTGAACCGAGATTGTAATCCCCCCTATACAAACCCTTCAATCCCTAAACCCTGAACCCTAAACCCTAAACCCTAAACCCTAAACCCTAAACCCTAAACCCTAAACCCTAAACCCTAAACCCTGAACCCTTTCAGGGATTGCGGGAGGTGGCGGCCCGAAGAGCTCCGCAAACTCTTAGCAGGTGGGGCTGAGGACATGAGGTGCCAGGCGCAATCCCTGAAAGGGTTCAGGGTTCAGGGTTTAGGGTTTAGGGTTTAGGGTTTAGGGTTTCGGGTTTAGGGTTTAGGGTTTAGGGTTTAGGGATTGAAGGGTTTGTATAGGCAGAGCCCAGGTGCTTGCGGCACAGCTCCTGACGGAGCTCCTGAGCAAGAAGTACCCCAAGATGCCGGAGCAGGTGCGGGTTTAGGGTTTCGGCTAAACCCCTAAACCCTAAACCCTAAACCCTAAACCCTAAACCCTAAACCCTAAACCCTAAACCCTAAACCCTAAACCCTAAACCCTAAACCCTAAACCCTAAACCCTAAACCCTAAACCCTAAACCCTAAACCCTAAACCCTCTGAAGACGCAGCTTCATAAAAGCCAGAGCTTGCTGTATGGGGGAGTTGGAGTTTAGTAGGGTCTAGTAGGGCCTCGTAGGGTTTAGGAGGTGTCTAGTAGGGTTTAGTATCTAGCAGGGTCTAGTAGGGATTAGTAGGGTCTAGTAGGGTCTAGTGGGGTTTAGGAGGTGTTTAGTAGGGTTTAGGGCTTAGGGTTTCGGGTTCAGGGTCAGGGTGCTTCTCAAATGAAAGCCTTTACGGCGATGGTGTGGTGCTGAATGGGTCGCTTGTGAGATTTGGGGATTTTTGTTGAGGGTCTTTTTGGATCCCAGCAGCGGCCGTAAGGGACACAGATGTAGAACAATTCCCCTTCTCCTGACAGAGGTTGCCCAAACCCCAGACCCCAAACCCCAAACCCCAAACCACAAACCCTGAACTAAACCCAGCCCGAAACCCTAAAACCTAAACCCGAAACCCAAAAAGTACCCTAAAACCTAAACCTAAAAGTACCCTAAAGCCTAAGCCTTCAACCCTAAACAGCCCTTGAGCCACCTGCCAGGCGATGGTTTCTTCCCTCCTCTCTGCGTGCGTGCAGCATTGCGACTTCGACACGGCGGCCCGGTTAGGCCCACTTAGGGATTCAGGTTTTAAGGCTTTGATCGGACTACCTTGGGCCGCTGGGTTGTTAGGGTTTTTGTACCCTTGGGTTTGGGGGACCCGTTTTAGTTTAGGGTAAACCTTCAGGTAGTTGCAAAGGGTCAATAAAGTTTGGGCACGTAATTTGGGAGCCTTAAAGACTCCATACCCCGTACTTCAGAACCTTTGAAGGAAGGTAAGGGACCCAGAAGTGTGCGGGGAGTTGACTTTAGGGTTTAGGGTTTAGGGTTGGCAGGCAGGGCGCCCGAGCGTCACCGGGATTCGATTAAAGGTCATGCGGGATGACTAGCGCCAGAGTGCGTTGAGCGCATTTGCCTGGTTTACGGTCGCCAGATGACGAGGGACCCTACTACGGCACCATGTGATTATCCTGGTCCTGAGACTTCAGATAGTCACGGCATGCAAACCTTGAACCCTGCACCCTCCACCCTAAACCTTAAACTTTACACCCCAAAACCCAAAACCTTAAACCCTGAAACCTAAACCGCAAACCCTACACCCTAAACACCAAACCCCAAACCCCAAACCCCAAACCCCAAACCCCAAACCCTAAACCCTAAACCCCTTGCGTGCCCTGCTGCAAGCTGCCTCAGATAGGCTTGGGCAATCCGGGCTTCTAGGGTTTCAGGTTTAGGGTTTAGGGTTTAGGGTTTAGGGTTTAGGGTTTCGAGCTCCAAGGGGCTTGGAGTGGAGGGTTTCAAGGTGTTCAAGGTGTTGGGCTTATGGTTTAAGGTTTGGGGCTTAGGGTTTCAGAGTGTAGGGTTGAGGGTTGAGGGTTGAGGGTTGAGGGTTGAGGGTTGAGGGTTGAGGGTTGAGGGTTTCGGGTTCAGGGCAGGGTTTGGGGTTCGGGGATTTGTTGGTTGTATTTGAGTTATTCGGGCTTAGGGTGTAATGAGGGCTGATGGTTTACAGTAGGGGTAAACCCGAAACCCCAAGCCCTGAACCTGAAACCCTAAACCCGAAACCCTAAACACTAACACCTAAACCCTCAACCCGAAGACCCTCAGCCCTCGATCAGTGCGTGAATTCGCGGTGGGCTGCCGGCGAAGCTGTCCGGCCTGGGCCGCAGTGGGCAACTGCGAGCTTTTCGGGCTTGAGGTTTAGGGTTTCCCAAGCCCTGAACCCAAAACCCTAAACCCTGAACCCGAAAACCTCAACCCTCAACCCTCAACCCTCAACCCTCAACCCTCAACCCTCAACCCTCAACCCTAAACCCTAAACCCTAAACCCTAAACCCTAAACCCTAAACCCTAAACCCTAAACCCTAAACCCTAAACCCTAAACCCTAAACCCTAAACCCTAAGGAGGTTTGGGTAGCGGGGGCAGGGTCCAGAAAAAGGCCTTGAGGTTTCATGGCCCCAGGATTTGCCAGCCGCGTGCCCTGTTTTGTTAAGGTTTCCAGCCGGGCCAAGCCCAAGAACACAAAACCCAAAACTAGGGTTTAGGGTTTAGGGTTTAGGGTTGAGGGTTTAGGGTTTAGGGTTAGGGTTTAGGGTTTAGGGTTTAGAGTACCTATACGCACATGGAAAGCCCCTAGACACATCTCAACCCACCGTAAACCCACCTAACATCCTAAATCCACAAACCCTCCAAACAACAAACAAGAACGCCCTTGAGAGACGCCGGTCCTAACCGTGATAGAGAAGTGGTATAGGGTTTTCAGGGTTAATTCAGGGTTCTCCGAACCTAA